TGATTCTGTAATGTTATTACTTTTCTCACACACTGCTAATTTGCAAGGCTTACGGTGAGAGGTTATCAAATATGATAAACAGCTGATTCCGTTATTCCTTAATTCATTGATAGTTCATCATAGCTGCTTTGAAAACAAATAATTCTGTTGCATCCATTTTCTTAACAGCTATATTGCAACCATTTTCTTATCAACGATGTGGCAACTATTGCCTTATCTATTATAGTGATAGTGAGAAATTTGGTCGGAAGATCGGAGGGGAAGATCATTGTAAGGTTTATTTTAATCATCTTAAAGTTTGATGTGGACCTGTAGATTATAAAATAAAATAACATGTTAGCCTAGTTTGGGTCCTTATGAACAAAATGTAATGATTTAATATTGGAAAAAAATAAATTTTAGTCACATAAAAAGTCCCTTGGATTATTTTTATAGTCAAGGCGATCTTTACCCTCAGTGGTATGAAAAAGACTTGTCATTCTGATTTTTTTCTTCTTACATTTCTATTTTTAAGATCAGCAGATCCGTAACCATGCAAACAAGATGTAAGGCATTATGGAACCTAAGGATTCTTTCACTTTATATTTAAACACATAAGGGCAAAATATCCATCGTCTATTGACATGTCCACTGTGCTGCCTGACAAGTATTGAGAGCCATGTCGGCCCCTGCTTCCTGTACATTGTACTGCCTGTCTCAAGCACCTGTCTGTGACACAATACTCAGTCTGCCGGCCCCTGATACCTGGACACTGGACCCGCACGTCCACTCACCTACAAGTACAGGAAATTACTGTCTGCACAACATACCCAATACCACAAAATCAGACAGACACCAGAAGGGAGGAAATAACTCCCTCCAGTCAAACATGACTTTTCTGAATAGGTTGCATTTGTGGGTGTCCTGACAACTAAGACGAGGACACATTCAACATGATGAAGTGCAGTGTAGCGTTATCACAGTTCCTGATACACATAACCCGGTATTGATCTTGAAGAACGGGATTATTGTATCCAATTGCAGGCAGCTGATGTGGCTTTAATGCCTAGTTAATGCCAGTGGTACAGATTACTTTAGATAGTCTCTTGTGAAGCTATTTGAAATTTCCTGTATAGGAACCAAATCAATAATTTGTGTATGATGTAACAGCACTCTGTGTTATAGACAGTTAACCAGGTGGAGTTGCTGGTATCTGATGCTTTGTTAGATGCATAGGGTAGCTGTTAATATGAAGTATTCTGTGTCAAACACTTTTGATCTGCTTGCCAAACAGGTGTTTTCGCATTACTTTCAGGACTAGTATTTATAAACTGATCTTACTAGGACAGAGGAACATTTACTAGAATCAGGCTTCAGACTAGTGTGTCAGCACCATACCCGTGCTTGTGGGTTTCACCGAAGTGGTAAATGTCTGAGACCTGCATCACTTCGGGCTTTCCACCCACATTAAGCTGACACGTACGCCGTGATATAACCTGAATAATGTTAAAAGCGGCGTTAAACCCAACTCACTCACTCACTGCTGGACAATTGCTTACTGCAGCTTTAATAAAGAGATGTTTATTGAATAATAATAGAAGTTTCCTGAGAGTGGCCTATTGCAGAAGGCAGTATACAGTCTGTGACTTGAGCCACTAGTTCATGGCATGAGTCAAGTGAAATGTTTTTCAGTCCAGTAATCTTTACTAATGTAGTCCATACATTAACACAAGGATTGACTGAAATGATGTCAGGAGACAGGTTCAGACTTCAGGTTTTATAACTAGAATAATGTTAAAAGCAGCGTTAAACCCAACTTATTAAGGGCTTGTTCTTCCGTAGCAGTTGAGTCAATTCCACAAAGAACATTGTCTCAAGAAGACTTGATAACCAGGGGGTATTGAGTCATGTTTGTATAGGACAATTTGATAGGCAGTGTTAGATACTGAAGCATTTGCTCTTTATGCTGAAGATCCAGGCTTGATTCCCAGGGCTACAATGTGCAGTGATTTATTTGGGATTTCGAACTATGTGCCCTTGTGACCCAAATTGGGGGAAAATACATGATAATTGTTGAAAACTGGAATTCTGAGTAATTGGGAAAATTTAAATTTAAATTGAGAATTTTTGCTGTCATTTGCTGCAAACTAGGGATCGAATATCGGCCTCCGTGCAGGTCCAGATATATCATTTATCATATGAAGTGGATTCTTGGTTCCCTGTGCGGTGATATTGCTGGAATATCGCTGGATAATGTATTAAACCATACTGTTTCTTCTCTATGGACAGAGCTATGGCTGTTATGTTTTGTATGTAAAGAAAAATCACTTCCTTTGCTATGGGCAAAATATGTGCCTACTTTGTAAAAGGTTTTGAATTACTTGCATAGCTTTCATAGTAGGTACTACATTGTTTTCCCCAAGGGGTAGGTTTTGATCTGACCATGACAACAGTTACCACCTTGACAGAGAAAACAGCCTGTATCATATGGACGCCATCACCCCTTGCTGCACTGGTCAGTCCTTCAGGAGAGTGTCAGGGCTTGCCTTCCTAGGGAAGGACACATGTCTACTTCAGACCTTACACACCAACTGATGGACACAGGGAAACTAGTGTGTCAACTCATTGCTAGAGTTGTGCAGTATTACCGGTGTATTATGATTTGAAATAATAATGAATAATGTATCACAATATGTTTAAAAATACTGATATATTGTGTTTTTCAAAATCCTACATATTACATCTTGTTAGCAAAGTTTACTTAAGTTGACAAGTTAAACTGAAATTAAGAAATTTGCAGCTGATTCCAGTGTTTGATAAAGCAAAACTATTCAAGGCTAGCTTCCTGTATATAATGTGTGTATCACACATGCATTGTGACCATAGCAACATCCAATGAATTGGCAAATGACTACAAAGTTGTAAAAAATGTGGGTTATTTTTATTTAGGTTCATAAGAAATTACAGATGAAAGAACATGTGCAATATATTGTGGTACATCAGTATAAAGGCATTGTGTATTCATATTGTGGTACATATCGCAATACATGAATCATTATTGCAATAAATTGCAATAGAAAGTCAATACCCATCACTACAGATAACAAGACATTTGCTGTTTGCTTCCCTTTGTTTTTAATAGCTGTCAGTTTGCATTTTAATAGTTATTGTCAACAATTGTCATGGTGTTATTGCCGTCTATGCAAAGGATGAATATCAGGAATTGCTGCACCACACCTATTGATTGATTGTGCGTCAGATCACAGTTGTCTTAATATACAATGGCTGTATCAGTCATCTACAATATTGTTTTCATTTAAAAAATGTGACCAAGGTTTATGGTTTATATGAAAGGTCAACTGTACAAACTCTTTGAGTCTACTCATATACTCACAGACAATCTTGGATGTATAGGATGCATAAACCAGCTTATTTACAGCTTACATCTATCAGACTTTCTTGCAGTGTGACCTTGAGTTGTATTTGTGGCATGAAAGTTTAGTACAGCATTGCGAAAAGAATTATTAGATAAACATGTTGTGATTTCAATGTTGAGTTATTACTGGTAAATTTTACATGGTGTTTCAAACACAGGTGGTTAATGTGATTTGAAACTTCTCACTGACCAATCAGAACTGACTATTTCCCAAAGTCATGGTAGGATGATAGTTTACATGTATCCATGGTATCAGTTCCTCAAGTAACTCACAGGTTTCTTAGTCATCCTATAGTTATCAATAGGTGTGTCCTAGCAATATTGATGTTGTTATCATATCGTCTCAATGTGGCCAGGTTGTATATTCTGTTATCACCCTATCTCCTAGCTGAGACATCAGATAGGTATTCCATACCATGAGATACTGCCTCATAGCACCATGTTATCAACTGGAAGTCTGTGTCATCATCCCTATCACCACAACAAAGTTGCAAGTGTCTTTGACATGTTTTATAAAAAGGCCTGATTGCTTTAGGCTATACATATTGTATAGAGAGCTGTCCATTGTGTATGATGTAAGAATGTAGGTACTCTAATCAAACAATTCAATAATCTAATGAATATTTGATTAGTGGTCTTCCTATCTTAGAGGATTACATGCCCTGAGGATCTCACTGAAGCTGAATTATTGATGAATCTTGATCCTTTCTCAGTTTTGAGATCATGTGGGAATTCCAAATAGCAACGGAAAGTGTGGCTCTTTGATAATTGATGAAGCGGTGAACTTGGAGGATGTAATATAAGTGTTGAAGATGGGTATCCAGGGAATATACTGTGACCGTGTAGACTGAAGTTCTTGCAGTTGCTCCAATAACTGTTTGATGGAAATGTTGTTGGTGGAGATTTGTGTTGTGGTGTTTCCAAATTTATTGGATGAAGAAGGTTGTTCTCACATTATCAAGTTGACAAGTGAATGTGACTTTTAGTTTACAATATTTCTGTCTTTCTGAAGAGAGCTACACCTTGAGTTTGTGAAACATACTTCTTTTGATGACTGCAATATACAAAAGAAAAATGGGGTTGTCTACTCTTTTGAATTATCCAGTCATTTTAAGGATGGACATAATTTCACTATGGTATACTTTTGTTGAAGCCAGGGACCAATGAAGATCCAGGGTAGAATAGGTCTTCCACAACCCATGCTTTCCTTAAAAGGTGACTATGCTTGTCACAAGAGGCGACTAACAGGATCGGGTGGTCAGTCTTGCTGACTTGGTTGATGCATGTCATCATATCCCAATTGCGTGGATGGATGGTCATGATGTCAATCACTGGATTGTCTGGTCCAGTCCCAGTTATTTACAGACCGCCTCCATACAGCTGGAATATTGCTGAGTGCAGCGTTAAACAGTTAAAAAGTTGAAGCCAGGCAAAATAATTGATGTTGGAAGCAGTGTTTGAATCGCGCATTGATTGATTAGAAGACTGGTGTTTGTTTGGGTGTAGCCAGGCTAGTATGGGGAGTTATACCACAGCTGTGCAGCCAACATGTACAATGTATTGAAACTGTTTCTTTCTGTTGCAGTGCTGGTAACATCAAGTGCCCTGATGACGACACAACTATAGATTATGCAAAGGTAAATATTTACACATTATATAAGCCTGCAGTATTGCCAAGACGACTAGAAATGTGTTTGGCACAACATTGGAACATTTTGTTGATATTTAGTGGGGTATTTGGTGCAGTTGTAGTTTAGTTTAATATTCCTGAAGTAAAAGTACAGTAAACTACGGTTATAACGAACTCAAAGGGGCAACTAATTTTAGTTCATTACAATCGTAGTTCGTTATAAGTATACATACAGCATATATACAGCAAATGGCCAGGACAAAAAAATAAGTTTGTTATATCTGTCAGTTTGTTAGCATGTTCGTTATCAACATAGTTATCTGTACTGATTATATACTGTTTTTTTCTCATCCTTTCAAATAATGGTGTACTGCAGTTTGATAGTCATTGAATCTTTAGCATGTGCAAGACATGATGAATCACTGTACAAGGATGGATGTATAAATGTTTGATATAATTGTTTCTCAGAACTTTAATCATGGATAAAAAAATAATTTATATGTAATTTGCCATTACTGAGATACCTGGGGTATTCCAGGTAAACTAGATCTCCTGTATCCAATGGTATCCAGATCTATGAATGAGTGAGTGAATATGGTTTTACGCCGCTTTTAGCAATATTCCAGCAATATCACGGCGCGGGACACCAGGAATGGGCTTCACACATTGTACCCATGTCGGGAATCGAACCCGGGTCTTCGGCGTGACGAGCGAACGCTTTAACCACTAGGCTACCCGACCGCCCCACAGATCTATGAAACTGATGGTGGTATTAATATAACCATGTTGTTCTTGTTTACCAAGCCAGGTGTTTTCTGAAAATAAGTATGTTAAAAACAGTAGTAACGTTGATCCTTTCCTACAGCAAACAAAGACCCTCTTACTACCTCATAGTTTGAAGAATCGTCATTGGTTGCTTGGGTGACTGTAGGTGGTGGTTGTTGTCTCCCTGCACGACAGTATTTGGTGTTGCAGATCTACCCCGACCAGGAGCTGCAGTCAGAGATCATGAACACACACATCCGATGTCGCCACCACAAGGAGGGCTGTCGCTGGGTGGACAAGTTGCAGAACCTTCAGGTACATAGTCCCTACAGGTGGAGCAGGATGGTGTGTTGGTGGGGGGGGGGGGGGGGGGGGGTGGGTGGAGGTCCATGGGCCCTACAGATAGAGCAGGATAGTGTGTTGGTATGGGGGGGGGGTGGTGGAGGTCCATGGGCCCTACAGATAGAGCAGGATGAGGTAGGGTGGGTGTGTGGTGGAGGGGTGCAGTGTACATGGCCCCTACAGATGGAACAAGATGGTGTGTGTGTGTTTGGGGGGAGGGGGCAGATACATAGCACCAACATATACAGTGAAACCCTGTTCATCCAGACAAACATGTTACCTGTGAAATCTTCCGTTATTGTGACAAATAAATCATGAGTGTGTCTGTCTTATTAAATGTAGACATTCCCACTAATGTCCGGTGGGCAGGGTTTCTGGATAAACAGGGTCCCGAATTACAAGGGTCCACTGTAGGCCTACCTAGAAGGGAGATGGTCATAGATTAATCCTGCTTAGTTTTGATGTTAGCATCATAGAGTCACTGTGCAAACCACATCCCTCCAAATGTCATTCTCTTTGTGGTTGACTGTTGACATTGTCTCTTAATGTTTAAACTAAACACTTCATCACCTTAAAGACTCAAACTGGCAGTTAGTCAATGGTTGCCATTAGCAACATGAAGCTCCCATCACCAGACTGTCTGATGTAGGCGTTGTTTTTTGTGAGCTTTTGTCAAAGCTGCTTAACACACATGAGGCCTCAGTTCATCTCTGTGTAGAAAACAATGATGCTGTCTTTCCATGTGTATTAATGTCATGATAAATCATGATTCTTGTAGCTCAACTTGTCTATTGCACAACACGCAACCTTTATAAGCAGGTTTGACAATAATGGTTCCTCTTAACGGTTTCTTATAATTATTAACAAAATTTAGATTGCTGATAGTGGCGGTAAACAACTACTAAACAAACTACCAATCCCATATAATCTGCACCAACAAAAGCTAGATATGTACTGTAGGGATATCAGGTTAGAATAGGCCCTCATTTAACTGGTCGTAAGAGGCAACCAAACTGATTTCCCTTCATCATCACTTGTTTGTCTGGTCCAGACATGTTCATGTACTGGCTGCCGTGATGTTGCTGGACAATTGCTTACTGCAGCTTTAATGAAGAGATGTTTATTGAATAATAATAGAAGTTTCCTGAGAGTGGCCTATTGCAGAAGGCAGTATACAGTCTGTGACTTGAGCCACTAGTCCGTGGCATGAGTCAAGTGAAATGTTTTTCAGTCCAGTAATCTTTACTAATGTAGTCCATACATTAACACAAGGATTGACTGAAATGATGTCAGGAGACAGGTTCAGGCTTCAGGTTTTTGGCCCAGACTTCATACTATCGGGGTTCACTATACCACTATATTGTTTGTTTGTTTGTTTGCGATATTACAGCTATATGACGGCAGTCTGTAAATAACTGGGTCTGGCCTGGACAATCCAGTGATTGATATCATGAGCACGGATCCATGCAATTGGGATACGATGAGATGCATCAACCAAGTCAGCCGGCCTGACCAACCAATCCTGTTAGTTGCCTCTTACAACAAGCATAGTCACCTTTTACAAGCATGGGTTGTTGAAGACCTATTCTACCCCGAGTCTTCTCTGTTGTGACACATGAGACCTTCCACATTCACTTACTCACTCACTCACTGTTTCAGGCTCATCTCCACAACTGCCGCTATGACGCTGTGCCGTGCCCCAACAGGTGCCCTGCCAAGCTGTCCCGGGTGTGCCTGGAGGACCACATGGAGTTCACCTGCCCCAAACGGCACGTCACCTGCGACTTCTGCGGTCAGATCTTCGCAGGGGAATACTTCGAGATGGTGAGTTGAGAACAGCTGCCAGTACAATCAGCAGTTGGGAAACTGAAATTTCTTTTTCAGAATTGTGGTTACTTTCTACAATAAACAAGATCTACATTGTGGAAACGGTCAAATAACCTTGTTTAACTGCAAAATTACCTCCTAAGAAGAAATGCCCTTCTGTAATGATAAATGAAGCTGAATGTTTGCTCAGGGGTAGATTGGACGATATGTATAAGATGCCTACATCAAACGGGAATATTGGGTTTATTTCAGTTTTTTTTAAATGTTTTTTTTTTAAATATAATAAAAAGTCACCTCCACAAAATGATATTTAACAAACAAATAACTGATTTGCCTTCATAGATATGTAAAGGATTGCCAATATTCATTGTTTGACCCACTGCATAACAATACCAACTAACTTGGAGAATGCGTCTTCACATCATGATGAGTGGTTACAGTGTTAGTTTCCTTGTGGGGCGGTCGGGTAGCCTAGTAGTTAAAGCGTTCGCTCGTCACGCCGAAGACCCGGGTTCGATTCCCGACATGGGTACAATGTGTGAAGCCCATTTCTGGTGTCTCCCGCCGTGATATTGCTGGAATATTGCTAAAAGCGGCGTAAAATCAAACTCACTCACTCAGTTACCTTGTGTTTTAATTAGTCACAACAGCATGTCTCTTTGTTTGTAGACCCACTCAGGAAACTGTCCGAAGGAAGTGACCTTTTGTGAAAACAAGTGTGGTGCTAAGTTAGAGAGACGCTTTCTGAACAACCACATGAAGAACGAGTGCCACAAGCGAACTGTTCACTGCAAGTTCTGTCAGCGGGAATTTGTGCAGGAGACATTACAGGTATGTTGACAAACATCTGTACCAAGATTAGGTGGAAAACACAGACCTGTACTTGATTAGCCAAGTAAAACACACACCTGTATCTGATTAGCCAAGGAACATGCACACACCTGCACCTGATTTGAGAAGTATTCAGTTTTAGCCTGGCCTGTCAGCTTTATGTGTGAGGAAAGCCAGAAGTGATGCAGATTTCAGACTTTTACCACTTTGGTGAATCCCACCAGTATGGTGCCTACAAACCTAAAAACACTAGCAGGGCCAACCATGGTTCGAACCCACCATCATAGTTTTCTTGCGTGCCTAAGGGATGCAACTCTGCATGGGAATGAAAGAATTAATGAGTAGGATCATGATCTACGAGTGTAGGTTGTTGGCATTCATTTCAGTGATACAGATTATTGAATAAAACAACATGACTGAAAATCTACAAGTTTTGAGGCCGAGTATTCAATCAATGAACCTTCATACTATTCTAACCCATGAAGGTCCTGGTTAGACTTGGTCTTCAGCAACTTATGCTTGTCGTAAGAGGTGACTATGCATGTCGTAATAGGTGACTATGCTTGTTTTCAGAACCAACTATGCTTGTCGTAAGAGGTGACTATGCATGTCATAATAGGTGACTATGCTTGTTTTAAGAACCGACTATGCTTGTCGTAAGAGGCGACTAACTTGGTTGATGCGTGTAATCATATCCCAATTGTGTAGATCGATCCTCATGATGTCAATCACTGTATTGTCTGCTGTCATATAGCTGAAATATAGCTGACTGCAGCATTAAACAAAAGTAGACAAATCATACTATTCTATACTGAAAATGGGTCAGTTTGCCAAATCCTTCTCCTGATGTGTGTTGACATGAGTTATCTTTCCTTGGCCACAGACCCATCAGTACCAGTGCCCACGGTATCCAGTGCCCTGCCCCAACCGATGTGATCCAACTAAAATACCTCGGGAGGAGATGGATGTCCATGTACAGGAGATATGTCCCTCAGCAACGGTGCCATGTGCCTTCAAAGACGCAGGCTGCAAGTTCAAGGTATGACAACATTCTTACTGGTTTAGGGAACTGCTTGTCCTGCCCTGCTTATCATACTTATATCTGGTCTGCTTGCACCAAGCAATCTTAGTTCTATGACTTTTGTAAGCCTGTGTTAAAGTATGGGCAATATGATTGTCATGGTGCTAAGATCGCTTTGTAAAAGTTCACCTTGCTCTTTAGAATATAATCCTTAGCTCTTTATTCCTATTATCTTCTGAATTTAAGAACTGCATGTAACTTGAATTTAAAACAATCAACTAAAACATTTATTTTATATCAATTTATTATTCATTCAACTGTTGAATTCAATGTTTATTGCAACCATTGATATTTTATTCTTTAAACATTTGAATTTAAAGTAACTGCTTGAACAATTATTTCAATAATTTATCATCCTTAAAACTGAATTTTCACCTTTATCTCAATTTAAATTAAATTAAATTACATATCTAATAATCCAACATGTATCCAGTTTTCTGCCAATCTCATTAAAATCAGATCTTGGTTCTCACTACTGCTAAACAAAGATCTGAGGACATCCCATTACGGGTCATGTCAGAATGACCTTTTGCGAACAATGACTGACCAATAAAATGACCAATAAGAAGTCGATATAAGCCAATCAGAAAACAGCTTTCAAGAGCAATACGGCACTAGTTTCAAACTGGGAACTACACTTACAAATATTTTGACAAGCCTCTCGATTCAAAATTTGAAAAGTGAACAAAAGAACATGCTGGAATGTCTAATAGATTGCCAAGATTAGATTGTATAGCAGTACCTCGCATGGGCAGTGCAAAGTTTCATCCATTCAAATGTTTATCCCATTGAAGCGACAGATAGATGATGTTTTTGATGGATTAAATCGTAAGCCCATAACTGTCTTTCGGAGTACCCCGTGTTAAACTTTTCGAGGTTGCATGATTCCGACTGTCACTTTCCTGATCTCGTAAGCGACGCTCTGATTTGTCAGCTGAAAGACCTGTAATGGACTGTCCTCAGATCTTTGGTTAGCATTAGTGGGAACTAAGATCTGATTTTAATGAGTTGGTTTTCTGCAATCCCTTCACTATTTCTGCTTATTGCTGCATGTGTGTAGTGAACCCTATCTAACGAGCAAGCCTCATTTTCAGTGTGTTTCCTTGCAGTGCCCACGGTTCAGCATGGACCGCCATCTTGAAGACTCCATGAAGATTCATCTCCAGTTCATGTGTGACCTTGTCAAGAGGCAGCAAGGTCAGATCTCGCAACTCTGCAATGCTCTCCACGCAGTGACGCAAGTAACAGACGGGACGTTCATGTGGAAGATCAGCAACTACAAAGCCAAATACATTGAAGCCATTTACAAGAACGGGAAGGAGATTGTCAGCCAACCCTTCTACACATCTCGCTACGGCTACAAGGCAGCGCTGTCTGTGTTCCTGAATGGGAACGGCGCTGGTGAAGGCAAATATTTGTCGGTGTATATCAAACTCCTGCCTGGAGAGTATGACAATGTACTGGACTGGCCGTTTTTGTTACCGGTGTCATTCACAATTTTCGACCAATGCAGTGACCCAGATATGAGAGTGAACATAACGGAGAGCTTCGTGCCTGATCCCACGTGGAAGCACTTCCAGAAACCCAGCAAAGACATTGAATCTCTAGGATTTGGCTACCCCAAGTTCGTGTCACATGAGATATTGAAATCCAGGGATTATATCAAAGACGACTCCATCATTGTGAAAGTCTGTGTGGACAACAAGAGGTTCATCTTGCCTTGAGCAGGACACCATAGTCAAACTGTGCCATCATTAACATATTTATTACATGTGACTTTTATCATAACACTCAGTGCTGGGACATATAAGTCGTATTTGTTTGTTCACAACTGTGTATAACATGGATATTCAAAAACATTTGTTCCACCGGGGACATACACATTATCAGTTGTATGCAGCCCTTGAATGGATTCAGATCAAATGGAAACTAGGTTGCGTCTCACAAATGTTTTCTCAGTCAAGTATATTTCAAATACTGAAAAATATTTGAATTTCTTGTAAAAACATCTTGCCCAACTTGCACAAAGTGATCTTAGTGCTAAAAATAAGTGAAATTTAAACATAGATCAACAAAAGCAATAACATGGCTTTGAGATACATGCATTTGTCAGGACTCACAATTTTTATTGTGGGAATTTCTGAGGAAGAGAATATATGGATGTCAACTTCTTTATTAGGAGGAACATCGTAATAAAGAAGTTGACATCCGTATATATTCTCTTCCTTATGTGTATCACTTCTAAATGCCTTTCAAAGACCTATGAATTTCTGCTTCTAATTTTCCTCATTCAATGCTATAAACTACAAAACAGTAGTAAATTTGGCAATTGATCATCAAAACAATCTGATGTCTGAGGTATCCATTATGGGGGAGGGAACTGACTCAAAATATTTAATCAGTGTGTTATAAAAGAAATGGATGTTATTTATGGTGTGTCCATGCTCCCCACCCTTCTACTACAAAAAATGATTTATTCATACAAGAACTGGCATTAATATCCAAGTCAAATATTTGACATATTTAATGACATTTTTCTTTAATTTCAGTATTCTTGCCAGTGATCAATTAGCAAAGAATTCAGGCTAACAGGCCAGTGATAATATTATTACCCAGTATATTTGTCACGACATTTTGTTGTCATTAATCAACATTTGATGTTTGTTGTGATAGCTAATGTTTGTTTGAGACAGACACAAGTTTTATTAGTCAGTTTAGTTATCAATGTTAACATACTGAGTATGAAAATATTTATTTAAAAATTAATGTTGAGGGGAAAGGATTTTCTCCTTATGAAGCAATATTAGCATTCAGTAGACAGATAAATTATGTATAATAAAGTATGTTCCAGTTCTTTTCAACACATTTAATGATCAGTTCCTGTGTTAAGAGTTACAAGATTTCCATCTCGTGCCCATCAGTGTTGGATTAAGAACGTCAAGGGGTCCTTGTCATTTTTTGGAGTCGCTAGATTAAAGTATACCTCAGAGATCCCATAACATACAAACTTTTCGAACACTGCTTACCCATTTTAGTTTAACCTTTATTCTGGCAGATGTTCTTTGTGCCAAGTTAACAATAATTGCCTAAACATTTTGTAAATAACAAAATAAGTACAAGTTACAAGAGTAAGAAACTTCTCCAGTGTATGAAGGGACTTGTAATGTTGATGTGATATAGCCTTCTGATCATGCTGAGGCTGTGTGTGTTTCTAGTCATCTCATGGACACAGTGCTGCTCAGTGTGTGTGTTGGGTTGGGGGTACATAAGCTTACAAAGCTCACGTTTTTTACCCAAGGATGATATCTTTCAGTACAGCAGGTTCCATCCTAATGGATCATGTCATATTTTGATGAATTTTGCGACAACCGTTTTCCATTCTTCTCTAACTAGATGGTGATAAGGTGATCTAGCTGATGGGTTTGCTTATGCCATCAACCACTTGTTGTCTGGTCCAGACCTGATTGTTTTGTGGGATGATAAAACTATCATATTGCTCACTACATGAAAACCCATTCACCCACTTATCCCTCGTTTGGACATATTTCTGTAGATCTGTTGCTGTTAGTTATACCTTCTTTGCCTCTGCAAAATCTAACCACTTCACTGGTAATGACCCATGTGGAAGTATGCAGGTGCTTGTTCCTGCTACAGACAAGCTGCTTTTATAGCATCTAATTCACAGCTAACAGGGAATACGGCTTCAACATAGTCACAGCTAGCAGGGAATACCGCTTTCCTAGCAACTTAGTCACAGCTAGCAGGGAATATAGGATAGACAAGTAGCAGGGAATAGTTCCGTAGACAGTCAGATACCAGAATGATTGGTGATCCTTCATAGTGAGAGCAGTAGTTTTGGATCTACTGGTGAAAGTATGCCCAATGCTGCTTGATAATTTGGTATGTTTGAAGAGGCTTGATACAATCCCATTATGTGCAATATTGCCTTTGCATAACATAAAAAACATAAAAACACTATCACAAGGCTCATCGATCTCTACCTTACTTCCAATAACCTCAACACACTGACATTATTAGGCTAATAATTGTAGTTGGTTCTCCGGCACTGATGATTTAGCCGAAACACATGAAAGCATTTTATTTCGGGTTTTAGACAAAAATAAATACAAGTAAATGTCAGACATTTTTACACTAAACTACATGCTCACTCCGTCAATATCACTGGGGGAGAAACAGATGTTTTAATGTTTTATGTCTGTGTGTCATTTCGGAAGAAGGTCAATATCAAATATTCGTACGTCCATGGCATAATTATTTCATCAACATAATTATCTCAATTTGTATTGTACAACATAATTGTTTGAATTGATTTTCTATTTGTTTTACATGCATTTATTTATGTATGTTTACAGGGAATATGCCTTTTATTGTGTTACAACATACTGCATATATTTCTGTACTGTTGTCGTATATGTTTGATATATAGAGGGGTTCTCCAGACTGAGGGGTCAGTGTTGATAATGATAGAAGAATATTTTTTACTTTAAACACACTGATCTTAGTACAGTTCTAATTGTTCAAATACCATAATATTTCATTCTATTCTGATTTAAGTTGTTAGATGAAGACAATTTAAAAAGAGAAAGTACTTAACAAAGATGTGGATATTATTTTCTTTTACTCAGTTGTTGGATTAACTAAAACAGATAATGATTTAGTGTATATTTGATGTGGCATGACGGAAACAGTGGAAGCTATGAGAAAGTAATGATTGGATGTTTGTCTCCTCTAACCTCACCTAGGGGCGGTCGGGTAGCCTAGTGGTTAAAGCGTTCGCTCGTCACGCCGAAGACCCGGGTTCGATTCCCGACATGGGTACAATGTGTGAAGCCCATTTATGGTGACCCCCGCCGTGATATTGCTGGACTATTGCTAAAAGCGGCGTAAAACCATGCTCACTCACTCACTCTAACCTCACCTACCCAACACCCTGCCTCACATCATTCAATGTTCTCATGTACCTAAAGACAAAAGGTCTGGGTAAGTCTGGGTCTTCAGCAACTCTTGATTGTCATAAGAGGCGACTAATTTGGATCTGGTTGTCAGACTCAGTGACTTGGATGGTGCATGTCATCGATCCCAATTGAGTGGATCGATGCTTCTGATGTCAATCTCTGGATTGTCTGGTCCAGACTCGATTATTTACAGACCGTCGTCATATAGCTGGAATATTGCTGAGTGTGGCGTTAAACAACAAACAAACCACATAGCATAAGATGCCTCTGCCTCACATTTTATAAAAGAAATGAATGAAAATCTAATCAATAATTTATTGTACCCAAAAGGATAAGATAGGATATGATAGGTCTCTTCATGTGATATCTAGTTCCACTACTGACTCTCAACAATAAGTCATTTCTCATCACCAACAACATAGCCTAGTCCACAGTTTACATAACAGCATCAAATACAAGGCCAAAAATAGGTGAAGTATATGAGTTGTAGAAGTGTCACGAGGGGTGTATGTAGTTTAAAGCGTACCACATTAGGTTTTATACCAGGAGCCAGAGGATTTATTGTCACACTCAGAAATGTGCAGCCTGTTTTTTTCGTGGCGGGGTATAAGGGATTTATTTCCCTCCCAGGCAGGATACATAGAATTTTAGAGGTAAGATAATGCTTTGTATTATAGTGAAGATTATGGCAAAGTGATTAAAAATTGGCCTTGTGTCAATTTTTTTTAAAATCAATTTTTATGAGAAATCATTTACTCTTCCTGTTTTGTCTTTGATGCCGTTTTTGTGTCTGGAACTTTACAATATGATCAAGGTTGATAGAGTACACATGTGTAACATTGTTAAAGTAATTGTTTTATTCAGCCATGATACTCACATTGAGTACAATGTAAGACAGGCCACAACATTAATAACACGTTTACCATCATCGTTGCCTTTTGTGGAAAAATGCTTCTATGTTAAGCCATACACATTACCTCCCTGCCTCAATATTCACAAGAACAGACTAACTTTGTGAACCTTTAACATCTTTATTTTTACAATGCTTTGCTATTATAAGTACAGTATTTGATGAACACATCTGCCATGAGAGATTTGTCTGTTTTGACTTATTTCAGGAGGAATGTTAGTTGTTGTCATTACCGGTATCTTCACTTTGACCAAAATCTTAGTAAATAAGTGTTGCATATTAATGCTTAATAAACAGTTTTGTGTATTTTGAAGGAAATATTAGGAAGATATGGATACAACTATACAATGTGGAGATTGGAGTGTGTATATTGGTTATGCTTACAGAAGTTTTAATATGCTTAAATGCATAATAGCTGAATAACAATGCAACATGTATTTGGACATTTAATTTTCACACACAATGATGTTATGACTGTTTGAAGACATTGTTAAACAGAAATGTCAACTACAAAAAGATATTATTGTACAGATTGTTATGTGTGTTGCCATGGTTACTGTACTGCCAGAAGTCATGTGTATATTAATTGTGTAAATAAACTACACAGTATCATAAGATTTTGTTTGTGTTTACTCGGAGGTGTTCCTCAACTGAATCTAGATATGTGTATTTCTGTAACTGGATTTACCAGTTATCCTTTCAATGGACCCGGGGGGCGGTCGGGTAGCCTAGTGGTTAAAGCGTTCGCTCGTCACGCCGATTCGATTCCCGACATGGGTACAATGTGTGAAGCCCATTTCTGGTGTCCCCCCGCCGTGATATTGCTGGAATATTGCTAAAAGCGGCGTAAAATCAAACTCACTCACTCACTCACTCATTGGACCCGGTCACTGATGACCTGATGACAATGACCTGAGGCATGGATTGCATCATTGATGGAGATGAACTGATGTTGAAACAAACGATGAAGGCTGTTCCTGTTCACAGTGATACAATCAAGGTACTTATCAGGATAAAGTGATTTCAATACACATGATGAAGATTTCTCTGAAATTGATTATATGATAGTAACAAAGTAGTTTCTATGAAATGAGACCATATTAATAAAACAATAAAGCTATTCCCTGAATTGAGATGCTATTAACATAAATGACTAAGGTTATTACCTGAATTGAGATCATAGTAACATGAATGACGAAGGGTATTCACCGAAATGAGCCGTTATTAACATGAATGACGAAGGGTATTCACGGAAATGAGCCGTTATTAACATGAATGATGAAGGGTATTCCCCGAAATGAGCCGTTATTAATACGAATGACGAAGGGTATTCACTGAAATGAGCCGTTATTAACATGAATGACGAAGGGTATTCACGGAAATGAGCCGTTATTAACATGAATGATGAAGGGTATTCCCCGAAATGAGCCGTTATTAATACGAATGACGAAGGGTATTCACTGAAATGAGCCGTTATAAATACGAATGACGAAGGGTATTCACCGAAATGAGCCGTTATTAACATGAATGACGAAGGGTATTCCCCGAAATGATCCGTTATTAACATGAATGATGACGGTTATACCCTGGGTTGAGATTATAATAACATAAATGATGAAAGTTATTCAATAAAATGAGAAGAGTTCAATAAAACTGACGGCTATTCAATGAAATGCGAACAGTTTAACCAAACCGACGGCTATTCCATTTAACAAGCACATTTTAACAAAACTGACGGTTATTTCATGAAATGAAAACATTTAAATAAACAATGACAGCTATTCCATGAAATGAGGACATTTTACTAAAACAATGAAAGCTATGCCACAAAATGAGAACATATTAATAAAAACGAGAAAAGGCTTTTTCTTGAAATGAAACTATATTAATTAAACGATGAAACTATTCCTGGAAATGAGAACATTTGGGCGTAACAAAATAGCGGTGAAAATGATATGAATGGATCACTGAAAATCAGTGATGACACCAGGTGTTCGCGAAATGGTAAGCATGTCCTGCCGTATGTGTAGCACACGCCACTCACACAATTTGCATGACAAAGAGCAGAGCAGAACTCCTACTATGCGACGGCGGCCTGTACATAAGTCAGACAATCAAGTGATCGATGAACCAGAAAAAGTTACACGTCCACACAGGAATAAATATCTGCGACTTTCACCGTGTTCAAATGCGGTAAAGAATTCTGATACTTCTATGGACACTGTTACTGCATAAAATAGGCTCCAATACATTCTAGCTTCAACGTCACGGTTTATTCGTAAACAGTCGGCAAACCAGTGATTGATACTGTGAGCAGCGAACCAGTCCACTCGGGTGAGATGAGGCGCCATCTACCATGTCACTGAGCCTGACCACCAATCTATTCAGTCACCTCTTGCGACTAGCATATGTTGCTGAGGACCAATTCTAACCCGCCATTCCAACGTGTTTCAACATGCTGTTTCACAGAAATTGTTGACAATACAGTTTGGGAATTGGTAATAATTTTACTTCGGATAAAATTGGCAAACGTCTATAGCATGTAATTGTTTGTAGAGATAACCTCATTTCGCACAATTCGATGGTACACATACGTCATCCGACCATGTAAAATCGTGGACAATTAACATGATTAAATAATGTAAAAAAAAAAATACGTAAAAAAATTAAAAATAAATAATTAAAAAAATATATTAAAAAAAATATTTAAAAAAATACGACATCCGCCAGCTGGGCTCAAGTATTGCAAATGACTGCTCATGTGTAAATGGTTTCTCATTAGCTCAATGGTATCAGTGAAATAGCTGTGACAGTAAAGGGATTTAAGTAGACATTTTAACATTACGTGATGTACTGCAGTATATCTGCTGCACAGAATCAAACAATGTAATAAACAACGTCACCACCAGAGTGAGTGAGTAAGTATTCTTTTACGCCGCTTTTGGCAATATTCCCGCAATGTCACGGCGGGGGACACCAGAAATGGGCTTCATACATTGTACCCATGTGGGGAATCGAACCCGGGTCCTCGGCGTGAAGCACGAGCGCTTTAACCACTACTCTACCCCATCGCCCTTCTACACCAGAAAATTAACCAGTCTCCGGAACATATTCCACTGGGCGTAAAAGGTGAAATATCGATGAAATACCGTCACAGAGTCCCACTAGAGTTACCTCCCATGCATACCCTTAAATTTCATTTTCAGTTGTCAGTATGATTAAAATTTAAATCATTTCTAATAAAAGCGGCAACACCCTTTCCATATTCTTCAGAATTCTCTGCGAAAAGCAGATTCGATCGCACGATTCCGACTATGTATTGAGCATGTCTTTCTGAATCACCGTCAAACAGTGATGAAACCAGGTGTTCTCGAAAAAGGTGAGCGTATCCTGCCCCATCGGTGGCACTCGTCACAACCACACCCAAAGCTGAAAATTCACGGAAACATATGATACAAGTGAAAATAGGGAATTGCATGTAAAAATAGCCACTTTTGCATGCACCATGTATAAATTCGAAAGACACCAGGCATGTGACATGCAGAAGAACATACAATACAATATTTTCACAACCTTTCACCTTCACTCGTCCCGTGTTCTTATTGTTATTGCATTTTACCATGAAGCAGAACTTATGTTTGTGATCGCAGCCAAATGTACTCACATAAATCTGTATAATCATGTAGTATGACGATCAATAATGCATGCTCTATTTTGCTGTATTGTAATACTTGTCACTTCAACCATTAATGTGTACTCTTCCAATATTGGAGGAAATAAAGAATGTCTGTCTGTCATGCCTGGGCAATGCATGAAATTTCGTAATGACAGAAGCACGAATGACTGAGCAACTTACATTTTTATCATGTCATCCATGTTAGTCAGATCAGATTTTAATTTTCTCTGAAACAGCTTGTTGAATCGAATGGAGATTCCAGGTTGGACAAAATATTTTTGGCTCTATTATTTTAATGAAAAAAAGCGCTTTTCCTTCCATTTTTAAGGAGCATGATACAAAAAGCAGACTCTGTTGGAAAGTAGCATGATGTGACACCAATCATCTTCCCGAGGCAAGGGTGTTATCTGACTATAAAAGTCCAGTTTCCACCCTTGCCGAACTAGGCTTGAATTCCGGAGTTTGGCTGGACTAACGAGTCTATGCATAGTCCAATCAAAATTGATTATCGATCAGATCGTCTTGACTGGGCGCCGCCATTTGTTTGAAGCAATTGCAAGTGATGTGAGAGGTGGAATCTGATTGGTCAATAGGAGGGACATAGAAGGGATATAACTCGTTATAACCACTAGTGGCGCTACGATCGAGCCTGGAAATTCCAGCCTATTTGGGCAAGGGTGGAAACTAGACTTTTATAGTCAATTAACTCCCTTGCCTCGGGAAGATGGGCACCAATAGGAGAAATTGGAAGCAATATTTACACAAATATAAGCATGACAGCTACAATCAAGTAGATGCGGTAGCACTGGCACCAAGCAGGTCTGCTTATTAGATACAGAACCCGCGAAGATCCGGGTTAGAATTGGTCTTCAACAACCCATGCTTGTCGTAAGAGGCGACTAACGGGATCGGGTGGTCAGTCTCGCACACTTGGTTGATACATTTCATCCAAATTGCGTACATTGATTCACTGGATTATCTAGTTCAGACTTAATTATTTATAGACCACCCTCATATAGCTTGAATATTGCTGAGTGCAGCGTTAAACAACAAACAAAAAAACAAAAATGATATTCGATATAGTAACACCAGAAACGGAGAGTCACCACGCGCTGATACCAAGCTCTGTCACCCAG